CAACCTGTTCCAGTGGAAGGTGTCTCAGCATCCTGGGACAGTCTCATCCCAGCACTTTGCGCAGCTGCTTCTCTGCCCCAGGGACAGCAGTGCCGTCTGGGCCATTGTGGGGGCTCGCTCATTCCCCTGACACCAAATCCTGCTGTATCAGGAGTGGAGACCCACCAGCATCTACCTGGAAGACGAAGCTCTTGGGCAGCCCTGCCCAGGACTTGCTGCCTGCAAATTCACTTGGATAAGGAAAATTCTCATGCTTCCAGAGTTCGCAGATGAAAGGGAGGTTTTGGCTCTGTGTCTGTGTGTGTCTCATTATCAGGGAGATGCTGTGCCTGCTGGAAAGGAGCTGCATTCTTCTAGACCACCTGCCTGTGTCCCTTGGGGAGGGCAAACGAAGACAGTGTGTTCGCCCACAGTGAGAGCAGGACAAGAGTCACTGTTCTAGTGACTCGAACTGCTCCAGAGGTAGCAGAGTTTTTCTCCATCGCAGATCAGCTGAGCCAGCGCCATCTTCAGGAGTTGTAGGAGAGCCGAGGAGTTGCGGGATGGCCTCTCTCTGGGCAAGTCCAGCACCAGCAGGGACTTGTGCTCTCTAGGTGTCATTGCCAAAGGGACAAACCAACTCAGATCCTTTAACTTAACAGCCCCCTATTCCCCTCCAGTACCTAGGGGATCCCTAGGTCCCCAAAGTAGCAGTGGGATCCCCAGCCCTCCAATGGCATCAGTGTGTCCCCCCTGCTTCAATTCCCAAGGGATCCCCAGACCCCAGCGGCATCAGTGGCCCCCCTGGCTGTGCTGCAGTACCCTAGGGACCCCCAGCCCTCCAAGAGTGGCAGTGGGACCCTTACCCCACTGAGGCATTTCCCTGGCACCTGCAGCCCCACTGCAGGCAGTGGTGGGGACACTTCTGGACCTGGCCCTGGGTTGTCTCAGCACCTTGTCGCTGTGAGGCACAGCACCCCCCCAGCCCATCTGCTGGGCGAGCTGCAGCAGCAGGTTTGGGTCCATGGCCACCCCACCATCACCCTGGGGAGGGACTCCCAGCTCCACACGTAGCCTGGTGGGACAGGCCTCCATGACCTCTGTGGTGCGCAGGTCCTACCCCCTAAGAGTGGGAGGGTGCCTCGGGGGGTGACAGGCATCCAATTCCCCTCCTCTCCCAGACCTGGGGGGGTGATGGAGTGCTTCAGGCCCTCGCTGCTGGGCAGCTCCCCTGGCTTGGGCTCCCCACCCCGGCACTGTCACTAATGTTCCACGGCCCTGCTCTCTACTTCCGCTCCATCCTCATCCCCTTCCCCTATGTCCCCCACATCCCTGACCTCCCCCTCCCCATGTGCCCCATCACCCCCATGTCCCCTTTGTCCCCAGCCACCCCTTCCCCCTTCCTCCCACTCTCCCCATGTACCCCGTCTTCCCCCATCCTCCCCATCCCCCTGTGTCCCGGCTCCGTCCTGCCCCCGTTCCCGATTCTGCCCCCGGGGGGGGGGGGGGTGGGGTCTGCAGTTCCCACTCCGAACCTCCGGGTGGCGGCGGAGCTCCGGCTGTTTAGGGGCTCTGGGGGAGAGCCATCAGGACCCATCAGGCTTCGTGGACTGACAGGGATCCAGCTGGAGCAGATTTCGCACAAGTTCAGGGTCGACTGGGAGCTGATCATTCTCACAGCTCAGGGCACTGGGACCCTCTTAGTCTGCCATCCGTGTTGAAGACAGAGGCAAAGAAAAAATTAAACATCCTTGCCTCTGTCCCTGTTTGTGGGGTGACCAGACTCATCCTGGAACAGGAATATGTAATTTCTGTGCTGGCTTTTGCTACTGATGTATTTAAAAAAGCCCTTTTTGTCATCCTGCACAGTATTGGCAACTTCAGCTCCATCTGAGCTTTGGCCACACGAATTTTCTCCCCACAACGGTGAGCAGTTTCTCTGTTGTCATCCCACATCACCTGACCTCGCTCCCCTTGGGCATACAGCTTCCTTTCTTTGCCTTTGCTCCAGAAGTCGTGATGGCTTTGCCTTCTTCCAGAAGAAGATCCCTGCTCAGGAGGTCCTGCTCAGCCAAGATTTCTGCTGCACCTGCTTGACTTCTGACATTTGGGAATTGCTGCTCCTGTGTCCTTAGAAGGTGGTGACTAAAAAGTGGCCAGCACTGATGGACCCCAGCACCCTCAGAAAAGTTTTCCCAGTTCCCTGAGCAGCCTGAAGTCTGCTCTCCTCATATCCAGGGTTGAAATTTTGTGGCACTTTTCCTGGTGTCACCAGAGATTTTAAACTTGGTGGCTTCATGATTGCTGTGGCCACGATGGCTTCTAAGTGCCACTTCACCCATGAGACCCTCTCTGGTAACAAGGAACAAATCCTGGAGGGCACCTCTGCAAGTCAGCTCCGTGAGTACCTGTACAACAAGGTCATTGTCCAGGGACTTAAGGAATCCTCTGGACCTATTTGTGCCAGCTGTGTGGTGTTCCCAGTTTAACATCTGGAAAGGTGAAGTCTCCCATAAGGACAAAGGCAGTTGATTTGGAGGTGTCATTCAATGGTCTCATCATTGGGTGGTCTATAGTAGACTCCCACAGTGACACCTGCATTATTTGTTTGTCCCTTAATCCTTACCCAGGACATCCCAACCCCTCTAATCCATACACCACCTCCCCCTACTCACCTGCCCTGCCTTCCCCTCCCAGAGGAACTTGGGCAAGAAAACCGTTGCAAGAGGGGAAAAAGACTTTGCAGCCCCAAACTCCTCCAGTCAGCTCTCTGAGCAGCTTTGCATCTCCTGGAGACAGGTCAGTGCCTGATATCTCCCTGAGACTCCTAGCCATCTCTGGAGGAAGTCTTTTGTCCTTTCTCAGAAGGAACCAAAAAGGCTGAAAGAGAGAAATAAACAGAGAAAGGTTTGGGTTTGAAGGGACTTTCGAAGATCATCTGGTCTACCCTTCCACCTGCCACCAGGCAGTACACCTTCCACTATCCCAGGTTGCTCCAAGCCCTGTCCAACCTGGCCTTGAACACTTTCAGGAATGTGGCAGCCACAGCTTCTTTGGGCAACCTGTGCCAGGGCCTCACCACCCTCACCATAAAACATTTCTTCCTTATGTCCGATCTTACCCTGCTCTCTGGCAGTGTACAGCCCTCACCCGTGGTCTTGGCACTGCAGACCCTGGTAAAAAGTCTCTCTGTGCCTTTCCCATAAGCCCCTTTGTACACTGAAAGGTCAAAACAAGGTCTCTCAGAGCCTTCTCTACTCCGGACTGGACACCCCTAGATTTCTTTGGGTTCCTGCACAGGAGAGAGGCTCCAGCCCTGGGATCATTTTCAAGGCCTCCTCTGGACCTGCTCTGACAGGTCCAGGTCTTATTTGCACTGAGGCCCCCAGAGCTGGATGTGGGCTCCAGGTGGGATCTCCAGAGAATGGAATAGAGAGGGAGAATCCCTTCCCATCTAAAACTCAGCACCATATGGGCCACTAGGAAGAAAATTCAGTCCCTCCCTGACTAAACCAGAACAAAGGGTCTCTGTCATGGTTAGCAGCAGCTATGTGCTTAGTTCTGACTTTGCATTGTGTGGTGGATTTGGTGGGCACACACCAGAGGTGCTGAGGCTGGTCCCCAGTCCCCTCCCAGGTTATTGTTTGGCTCTGTCATGATATATGGCTTGTATGTGTGTGCTCTTTAGGATAAACCCTTTGCTCCCAAGAGCACACAACCACGGCTCCCCTGACCTACCTCTCCACTGCATCAGCATCTCCTTCTTCCATGTCATGCCAATTACTGCAATTCCTTTCCCCTCCCACCTCTGTGACAGCCACTTCCTCTGGACACTCCCTGTATCACGATATCCCTGTAGCCTGTTCCCTGGAATATCAACCCTCTGCTGCAACACTATTAAAAAGCCACCAACAGTAAAATTTTGAGCCCAAAGCTCAGTTTCAAAGGCCAGAACATTATTTTTGATTATTTTTCAGATCCAACCCCGAGCTGGATCACAAACCCTTGTTTATACATGTCCTAGTTAGAACAGCTGGGACCAATTCATCACTGGATGGGTGTAACCCAAAACTGTGTATTCTATAGCCTTCCATGCCATTTCCCAGAAACTGTTATCAACAGAGCATTTACACCCTCTGCCCAGAGCAGCCTGACTCCTCAGGCTATAAACTAGGCGTTAAGAGGCCTGTGAGATAGGAAGATGTTCCTGTCCTCACACCCTTTTATGGAACTCCCCGCTCTGAGGGAAGGACTGAGCATTCCTGCCTGAACTGGAGAATATATAAACTTGGAGTTTTGGAACCTTTTTACCACTCGTGGGATCCAGAGGAAGACTGCAGCTCACCGCTCTCAACCAGACTGAGACCACCACCCTCAACTAGACTGCAATCACCACTTCTGACCAGACTGCAACAGCTCTCCCACCAGCAGGTTTTTCCCCTCTCCCTTTACTTTGGACTCAGGGGGGGGCCCAAGGAACACCACTTTGTTCATGCCCCAGGATGCTGGGTTATACATTTGGGTTTTGTGGGTTAAGACCAATTGTTTGTCTGTATAATCGTACTTATTGTATTATTTTATTAAATTGTTATTCTGACTTATAATCTCTCTTTTGAGTTGAGTTCATTTCCCCTGCTGGTTAACTTTTAAACCAGCACAATACAATGCAGTCTCAAAGTAGGGAGAGCAGCAACACTTTTAACTCCCTCTTAACTCTACATCCCTGAGGTGTTGCTGCCATCACTGCTGGGCTCAGCCTTGGCCAGTGATGGGTCTCTCCACAGGAATGATGGTGGACCTGGGATGAGACTGGAGATGAGGGACAGGAGGGTTCATGTCCCTAGGGGGGTTGGGGACATGGGGTGGGAACAGGACCCCGTAACAGGGCTGGGATTGGTGTCTCCAGGGGGGGCTGCAGCTGGTGCCCAGGGATGGGGGGGCTGCTGTGTCTGGGGACAATGGGACCGAGGGTGGGAATGGGCCCCTCTGATGTCACTGGGTCTGGGACTGATGTCCCCAAAGGGAATCAGGAACTCGGAATGGGGAGCTGAGGGGGGGCTGACAGCCCTGGGGGTGTTTGGGACCTGGGATGGGGCTGGGATTGATGTCCTCAGAGGTGTTTGGGACAGGGATGAGGCTGATGGCCCTGGAGGCTATGGGGACCCCCATGGTACCTGGGATGGGATCCCATGGTGGGACTGGGGGTGGAACTCATGTTCTCAGACCATGCTGGGTCTGGAGGGGATGTCCCTGGGGATGCCAGGTTTGGGGATGGCTTTATGACTCCACAGTGGGCCTGGGTTTGTGTCCCTGGGGGGGCCAAGGGTGGGGACTGAGGGGTGCTGGGGGTGGGCCCCATCCTGGGTTTGCTGCCGGTACAACGCAGTCGATTGTGCTGCTGATCTTTATTTAAACGCTCCTGCAAATATTCTGCTGGCTTCTGCCCGGCTGTTGGGGCGCTCAGAGCCGGCTCTCGAAGCTGCGAGGCGCCTGCGGAGAGAGGAAGCTGCTGAGGCCCCGCCACGGCCGGGGGTGCAGGGTGGGTGTGAGGGTGCGGAGCAGCACTGGGTGCCCCGAGGGGTGTGGGCACCCGGCTGCACAGGGGAGCTGTGGGCACAGAGAGCTCTGGGCAGAAAACGGGGCACCAGCTCACAGCACAAATCTCTGCTGAGTTTGGGCAGTGGCAAACTGGGCACCCAGAGCACCTTAGCTCAGAAAACCCCATGGCTGCTCTGGCTGATAGCAGCCATCCAATACCAGTTTGGCAACTCCCCCCAGGCCCACCAACTCACTTTCTCCTCTTCCTCCACAAGTGGAATACACAACACAGCACCATCCCCAGCAGCATTGAGCCCAGGACAGCCACGATGCCTTCTATGCAGTACGTCTGGAAGGTATCAGCACCCACAGAGTTTGGGTCTGCCCTGCCCACCACAGCGTTTGGATCTGTCCTGCCATCCACAGTGTTTGGGTCTGTCCTGCCATCAACAGCATTTGGATCTGCCCTGCCCACCACAGCAATTGGGTCTGTCCTGCCATCCACAAGGTTTGGGTCTGCCCTGCCCACCACAGCGCTGGTGAATCTTCTGCCATCCACGGCGCTGTTGAGGCTGAGGCTGTTCACACCTGGAGGAACAATTGTGCACATCAATGTGCCCTGACATTGCCAGAAAATGTTCTTTCCCACTTTGTTGGCATGTCTGAATGAGGGAATATCCTGGGTGGCAACATTTCTGTGGCTTCAGTAGAAGCCAAGGAAACTCCCAAAGGCCTTGCAAGTCCATGCTCTCCAGAGCCTCTCTCTCTCTCTCTCCTCTCGGCTTCGCTTGCACTCTGAAGTGGCCGCAGTCCAGTTCTCCCAGTGCCTGGCTTTGCTCCCCATTCCTGAGGATCCTTCACATTTGCCCACAATTTTTCTTGCACTCTGGCCAGGGATGGTCTGACTGGGGCAGCCATAGTCCCTGGGACTCAGTTGGAGCCACAACTGGCAGCAGAGATTCTGGACCATCCTTGCAGCTCGCCAGCACCTGCAGGGTCCCTGCAGTGAGGCTCTGAGGTGTGGGCTGGGGAGGCTATGGCATGTCCCTACATTTATCCAAAACCTCTGCTGCCCCACTGTGCCGGTTGGGAGTGACCTGTACCCACCTCGTGCTATCGTCTTCAGCTGTCCAAGGATTTCATGTAGCACTTTGGATGTGTCCTGGGAAGATTGTCCCCTTCCATCTCGATACTCTGGACCTTAATGGAAAGAATAGAGTTACATTTCTGCCCCAGCAAACCCTGCACTCAGGCTGTGCAGTCAGTTAGGACTGACTCGTGACCCCCTCCAGCGCAGGGTCCAGCCAAGAAGCAGGAAAAGCCCTTCCTGTGCCCACAGCTGCAACCAGACCCCCCATGAGGAGCTCCTGTCACACCTTGGGGCACCCTCTGTCCTGACTGAATAGCAGAACAGGAGAGGGGATCATGGAACAACATGGTACACCTGGGCTTTGCTCCCCATTCCTGTGGATCCTTCACATCTGTCCACAATTTCTCTTGCAGGCGCTCACCTTCCCTTTCCAGGCTTGGTGGGTGCTGCCTTGATGTACACTCTCTCTGACCGTGGGGGACACATTGTCCCCCAGACAGGACTCAGGGGGCCAGATGGAGAGCAAGGAGGGACCAATTGTCCCTTGGAGTGAGATGGACAAAACCCATCCCCTTGGAATGAGGTGGACAAAACTCATCCCTGTGTCAGGGAGGGCCACCCCCAGCTCTTCCTCTACAGCCCAGCACCCACACTCTGAGGGGACACACTCGGGCCCGCAGGAGACACCCGAACCTCGCTCTCCCTCGCTGCCCTTTCTCCAGCATGGGCAGCGCTTGCCTGCTCCCAGTTTTCAGGTCTTGTCTCCCATGTATGGCCCCTGGCAGGACTGTCCAGTGCCTGGATAATTTGGAAAACATTCCTCTAGCCCAGAGTGGGGGCCTTCCCCAGGACTGGCCAGCACTGCCAAGGATCAGGGAAAGGTAAAGCCTCAGTGTGGGTCAGGTACAGAGGCTGCAGGGGGATGGTGCAGGGTCCCCCCAAGCTGTGCTGGACCCGTCGGTGCAGCCCTTTGGACCCCAGTTCCCAGGAGGGATCCCTCTGTTGAGCCAGGGCCTCCAGGGCCTCCTGGTAAGCTCTGGGATGCAGGTGCTGCAGGAAGGACATTCAATCCAGTCGCATTTCCTGTGATCTGCTGAGTGGGGTCCAGGTGACCTAGTTCCCAAAAGGGCAAAGTTGTGAAATCCCTGAGAACAGGATGTGGGGGGCAGTGAGCCTCTCCCCACATCCACAGAGGGTCTGAGGGCGTGTTCCTGGCACAGTGACGGCCACAACCTCCCCCGTCCCGAGGTGACAGGGACCCCGGTCGCTCCTGGCTGCTGGCAGAGCTCTGGCTCTGTGCTGACAGTTTGGCTGCTGACGCGAGGAGCAGCAGCAGCAGCAGCAGCAGCAGCGGGGCAGGGCCTGCAGACACTCGGGATCTCGGCGGATGCTGCCGGGTGGCCGAAGGACAGCGATTACCTGGCACTCCTGTTGGCTGAACGGCCCCGGTGTTTTCCCCAGGGACTGGCACTGCCTGATGGTCTTCCTGAGGTGCCTCCTTATCCACAGGCTCACGCTCCAGAGCTTTAGAGAGAAAGTGTGTCAGCTGAATTGCAAGTCCCCATTCCTCATGGGGATCTGCCAGAGCTGGGGGCTGGCCCTGCCCTCCCCACCTACCCACTGCCCACGGTCGCCACGGAGCAGCCCTGACACCCCCGGCTGGCAGGGCCACCAGGAGGAGGATGAGGGCCAGGGCCCACCGCGCCTGCAACATGCTGTCACTGCTGTCACTGTTGCTGCTGACACAGCTGGTACTGCTGGAACTGCCGCTGCTGGCACTGTCACTGCTCACTGCTATCACCGTCACTGTCACTGCAGGCACTACAGGTACTGCAGGCACTGGCACTGCTGGCACTGTCAGTGCAGGCTCTGCTGACACTGCTGCTGCTCCTGCAGCTACTGGAGTGATGCCTGTGGCACCTGCCCCACACTGCACACGAATGCCTGGCCTTGTGACTTCATGGCCTGGCTTTGTCATCTCATGGTGGGGCTTTGCTACTGCATGGGAGGCTCCTACCGTCAACATTCCACCATCTCCATGAGAAGCACAACATTTCAAGCTGCTGGGGAGGACTCCCAAGGAACTACAGAGCAGGGAGCCAACCCCAACAGACTCAATGCTCTTTGGGTTGTTTCTTGCAGAAGAGTCTGAGGCTGCTCCCTGGCAATTCTGCTGTCTCCAGCAGAGCACAGCACACTCCCAGAGATATCTGCCAGGAGTCACAGAGGCCTGCCCGACACACACCTGCCTTCAGCAGGAATCAAACTCTTCAACAAAACACCCAGGAGGAGTCTTGGTCTCCTGCCCAAGCCTTCAGCCACCTCCAGAGGAAGCGAGTACACTCTTGGTGGTGCCCAGGAGGAATCCTGGGAGGCTGCCAGACATGGACTGGCCTCTAACACGGACACAACAGGTACATGACCTACCTGGGGGCATCTGCGGCTACTGCCCACGGCTTCAGTTGCTGCCAGACGAAACCACAACACTCTTGGAGATGCCTGGACAGAGTCCCAGGGATCCTCCAGGAAAGGACCTGCCTCCAGCATGGGCCAAACACTTTGGTTTGCAACCTTGGAGGGGTCTGGGGCTGCTCACAGCGGTGCTGGCTGTTCAAGGATGGACAAAACACATCCAGCTCCTGGTGCTGAGCACAGAAACCACGGCAGCAATGCAAACGTGTTCCAGAATAAAGCCGGTCCCATTCCCTTCCCCCCAGCTGCTCCCTCCCTATCCCAGGCTCTGGGGCACTTTCCCTGACGTGATGCACAGAATCCTCTCTGCTGACACTGTCATCAAAGCTGTGAAATCACAATTCTGGCCTGTGGCTGAGCTGATGCTTTTGCACGAGGGGCAGCCAGCACGTGTCATGCCTGGTGATCCTGGCACTGGCACTGCTGAGGTGTGAGGATGTGAGCAACTGGGGGCTGGGGTGGGAGGTCAGGGCTGTCGGGAACGGGGCTGCCCAGGCACCGCTCTATTGCATGTCCCGTGCCTTGCACACACATCCCCTGTGCCTTGCACACCTGCACCCCACTCCACTGCACACCTGCACCCACATCCATATCACACCTGTACCCATATCCACATCACACCTGCACCCACATCCATATCACACCTGTACCCACATCCACATCACACCTGCACCCACATCCACATCACACCTGCACCCACATCCATATCACACCTGCACCCACATCCATATCACACCTGCACCCACATCCATATCACACCTGTACCCATATCCACATCACACCTGTACCCATATCCACATCACACCTGCACCCACATCCATATCACACCTGCACCCACATCCACATCACACCTGTACCCACATCCATATCACACCTGCACCCACATCCATATCACACCTGCACCCACATCCACATCACACCTGCACCCACATCCATATCACACCTGCACCCACATCCATATCACACCTGCACCCACATCCATATCACACCTGTACCCACATCCATATCATACCTGTACCCATATCCACATCACACCTGTACCCACATCCACATCACACCTGCACCCACATCCACATTCACACCTGTACCCACATTGATATCACACCTGTACCCACCCATATCACACCTGCACCCACATCCATATACCTGTACATCACATCACACCTGTACCCACATCCACCACCTGCATTCACACCCACCACATCCATATCACACCTGTACCCATATCCACATCACACCTGCACCCACATCCATATCACACCTGTACCCACATCCATATCACACCTGTACCCATATCCACATCACACCTGCAGCCCCTCCATATCACACCTGTACCCACCCACATCACACCTGCACCCCTCCACATCACACCTGCACCCACATCCATATCACACCTGCACCCACATCCATTGCTCTACTGTACACGCTTTGCCTTGCACCCTGCCCTTCCCCCCCACTCCACCAGGCCTGTCAGGCCCCCTACATTGCTCATCTCTGTATCTGCCATCAGAGAACTCCCACCTGGGTCCCCTCCCAGCCCCCCAGGAATGATGACATCACCACACACCTTATGTGTGTTCATCAAGGTAAACTTTCACTCCAGCCCCACACACTGGCATCTCCTTCTTCCATGTCACAACATCTACTGCAATTCCCTCCCACCACCGTGATAACCCCTTTCTCCAAGCATTCCCTGTATTGCAATACCCACCCCAGCATGTTCCCTGGAATATCAACCATCTATTGCAGTATTATTAAAAAAAAAAAGTGAAAACTCAAAATAAAAAAGTTCAAGCCCAAAGCTCAATTTCAATCCCAAAGAATTATTTTTTATTATTTTGCAGATCAAACCTCAAGTTTTCCAAGTACAAACCCTTATTTATATGATGAAGCCTCAAAGTAGGGAGAGCAGCATCCCTTTTAAATACCCAAAACCCACATTTGGGAGACCAGGGTCAAATAAAGGTCCAAACTCACAATTTTGGACTATAAAACCAGACCTAAAAGTTCCCAGATTTATGCTTTAAAGTTCAAAGCCTCATTGAGAGGGCCAAGACCATAATTTTTAAGGCCCAAGGTCTGATCTGGAAGGTCCAAAGCCTCATTTGTAGAGTCGAAATCCTTCTTTTGAGAATTCAAATGCTCCTTTTGGGCCCCATTCCTTTCTTTTTAACTTCCACAGCTGCCCTGTTGGGGATTAAAGGCCCCTTTTTGGGATTTGGGCTGCAATTTGGAGGGCTCAAAAGCTTTCTTTTATCCAAAGAGTTATTTCCTCATGCCCTTATAAGTAAGGTAGGTCTTAAGCTACTCTGGTGAGAGCGCTTGTCCTGCTCTCTCTATGCTGGTGCATGTGTCCCCTCTGTCACACGTCAGCTCCAACAGTCTAGCTGCTGGGGGCTTCACTACCAGACCTTTTTGGGCAAGCTTGGCTCACCTCCTTAGGCTCTTCCCTTCTGCTCCAGGGGATCCAAATTCACACTCTCAGCTTTTTCAGTGTGGTCCACACAGAGACCCAAATGGAGAACAAGACTGTGATCCTCCAGAAGCCCGTGCTCTGTCTTCCATTAGCCCACAGTCTCCTGGATAATAAGGACAACTTGGCCGGTCAGACAGCAGGTTAAACCCTGGCTGACTGCAGGGCTGTGGTGCAGGGGGATATTGCATCCCTTTTCTAAAAGCAAACAGCTCCCCCCTGCAGCACAGGTCCAAACCCAGGAAGGCCCCACGTGCTGGGTGACGGCTGTAATATGCAGCTCCTGGGAAATGCCCGTGGCCAGGCCCTGGGGGAGTGCCTCTGTCCCTCTTGTGTGGTTTTCCAGGAAATAAGCAGCCGGAGCCTCTGAATTATGCCAAAGTGGCTGTGGAGGCCTTTGTGTTCCAGAGAAAAGTGGAAGGCTGCATCCTCAGCACTACATCCCTCCTGTCCCACTGCCTGGGGAAGGGGGAGAGGATGGCCTTTGTCCTGAGGGATGTAGAGGTGCTCCTCAGCGAAGGTGGGAGACAGCAAATGAGATTCTACTCTGGTGTCCTGGAGAGGATGACTGGGGAGAGGCTCCAGGAAAGGGTGAGCCTTTTGTTTTTTCCTGTGCTTGGGCAGACCCACAGCAGTTCCCCACCACTGCTGGCAAGTGGTCCACCAGGACATGGTCAGCAGCTCCAGTCAGGTGGGAGCACAGTTCCACCAGTTCTTGCTGCTCTGAACTCCTCCACTCTTGGGCACCTTGGCCACGTTGAGGATGTCCTGGCATCTTCACATTTTTCTGCTGCAGCTAGACGTGATGGTATCCTGTGGGAGGCGTGGACAAGGCACAGGGAACGTGCCAGGGCAGAGGAGCCCAGAGGAGCATGCGCCGACATAGGTAACCTCATTGGTTAAAGAAGTCACATGGTGTTAAAGGCTAAAACAGCGCAGATTTTAAAATAAAGTCTCTTTGTTCACCATCACACGAAGAGGTGTCTTTCCTTATTATATAAGGACTTTGCGTCTCCTACATATGGCACACCCGAACTTGGGACGTTTTTAACTTATATTAAGTCAGTTTAGATTATCCTGAATCAGGCAAAACACTCGGTAATTCCGTTATCTGCTCAATTTTGTGGAGGCGGGAATTTTCACCGAAAAAAACCAAGACGTCTGTAATCGTTGTCTCAGTGGCGTCTGAGAAACAGAAAGTTAGTTTAGGAGCTCCAAAATATTAGAAAAAGTGCACGATACGAGAAGAAGAATGAAGATAAGAAAAAGCCAACAGATCGAAGCGGCCGGAGAGGGCGGACCAGACTCCGACTTGTGCCGGAGTGGTGAGTCAAGCTGAAAGGCAGTGGCACACCGCACGCAGCAAGGACTTCTCCCTAACCGGCGCAGTGCGCCGCAGCTCGGAGACCCGGGTGGCGAAGCACCTCGAAACCGCCAGGGGAAGCCCCGCTGCTTGCCGCGGCTCGGCCGTGCGCGTAAAACGTGGCTTCGCCGCTGCCGCCTCTAACATCCTCAGTGACCACCAGACCCCGTGAAGCCTGCACGGTTTCTGCATAGCAGAAACTGCCACGGCTCCCCGCCCGCCTGCTGCCCCTGCCGGCTCTGTGCCAGGCTTAAAAGCCCCGCCGCAGGGACCCGCTCCAGGAGTGCCCGTCTAACGGAGCCCAGCGCCGCCTTAACATTGCCCGCGTTCGCCTGCTGCCCCTGCCGAACCCGCGCATGCCTATAGCCACTGCGTGAAGCCTCCACGTTGAGGAAAAACCACCGAAAGCCGCCACAAACCCAGAGGGAACCTGCTGCCGCGCCGCCGAGCATGCCTGTCGCTGCCGCCAGGACCGTGCACGCCGCCTGCGCCGAGAGCAGCCCTACGCCACCACCGGAGCGACCCCTGCAGCCCGTGCTGCACTGAGGGATGCCTCGCAGCCACACCGGAGCCCCAGGGACCCGAGTGGACCCCCACAGAGACGCCGAGAAGAAAAGCCTCAGAGAAGCGACTGCCGGAGAAACAGAAGGGACGGGGCCTGTGATGCGAGATCCCAGCCCGTGGGACCACCGCAGGGGGCCCCGTAATGGCGATGGGGGGGCTAACCCAGCATATTTGCCACCCAATACCGCGGATGACCGCCGACCACGCGCCCAGGGATGGGCGCCGCCATCTC